TAGTTACGAGCCAATATAGGCAAGTCCACGAATCCTAACTGTGTTTCAAAAATGGCGAGTAAAAATTGGTTTCTCAGTGAACTTGCTCTTTAAATTCTTAATGCTTCGTCAATAAATGACAAAACATACATTATTTGCACGTCAGCAGTTCCAGGAATGAAGTATAATTTGTCTATGACATTTATTTTTTCATTGAAAGTGACTGTGCTCCAAACATATGACTTTCAGGTAGGAATTCAGAATTTCAAGAGTTAAATAAATAAAAATACAGAATGTCAGTGCTGTTCTGCACAGGAAAGAATGTCAGGCTCCCCATGCATATAGATAGCAGTCCATTCATATCTACAGTTACATCTTAATGGACAGCTCGGTAAGTAATTAACCTGCAGATAACCTGCATGAGGCAATAAATGCACCCTCTGGCAGCTGGGAATTGGCTACAGGCAGTACAGAAGATCTCACAGAAAAAAACAAGAACATTGAAAATTGAAAAAAGAAAAGAGGTAGGTAGGTAGGTTTTAATGCATTTAGGACAGTTGCCCATAATCTGCTAGGGCAAACAAGAGCAAATTGCTAGATTTCATGTGCAGATTAATGTTAAAAAAAAACCTGTTCACTCTGCAAAGCAGAGGCACCGTAGGAGTCTGAAACAAACACGCATAGCCACACACATATTTTCATAAAAACACTATAAAAGATGTAAAGATTTCTTTCACACAGGAGTATGCATTTCAGAACTGTAAAAATAACAACCCTGCTGCTCGTCGAGTACCAAGACGACAAGCCGAGAGAGATTTTCTGCTCTGAAGAATAAATGCAGCTGACAAAATCCCACTGTGACCAAGCCTGCCTGAGTATGTGCCCTTCTAATCAAGATTCACACACACACACACACACACACACACACACACACACACACACACACACACACACACACACACACACACACACACACACACACACACACACACACACACACACACACACACACACACACACACACACACACACACACACCTGACAGCCAGTAGCTGAAGATTCTTTTTTCCCTTTCTCTCTATGTAAGTTACTATTTGACAACTGGAGCTATCGATTCAGCCGCCTGCGGGCTTTTTATAGCATCCAGCACCATCATTATGACCTGTAGCCTAGCCCGGCCTGCCTCAGAGCATCCTCTCTTCTAGGCTAAGACGTTTGATGGAAAAAAGGGGCACCGGAATGACAGCTGAAGCTGAAAAGAGAAGGGTAATGATGGCTATGGAAAACAAGGTTATGGTGGAGGAAAGTAGGGTAAGACAGAAGAGAATGGAGGGTTTACTTTGGAAAGAAGCATGGTTGAGGCTGTGACAAACACTAGAATGGATGGTGGGAAACTGCCAATGGCAAAAAGGAATAAAGTAGATGGACTGAAATGGACAAAGCTCAAGGAAAGTGAAAAGTGAGGAGAGTTGTTAAATAAAGCTAAACAACAAAACCTGATGTGTTGGTGTTTTTCACTCCAAAACGTCTAAAAGCTTAGTAGAAATGCCTTCTAATACTAATTCTAATAATAATGTCATTCATTAATCCTTTTTGGTTGCCTCCGTGTCAGAAAACCCGAATGGCAATACTATTTCTGTTTAATAACCTCTTAAAACACATCTTAAGGTTTTTTTCACTCATACCATCAATTTTAATGTTCAGTTTAAACTGTTCGAATTTAGATGAATGGAGACTACAATTTGTCCATGCCTCATTGTTTTTATATCCTTTTCATAAATGTACATTTTCCAGAACAAAAGCCCGGACATGTGTGTATTTATGTTACAATACACACACTTTACTCAATTCTAATCACCAATAATGGTTAAAAGTCTCTCAGAGGGACTATCTCATGAAAAATCCCTTTTTTGGAGCATTTGACCCATTAAGCGGTTTGTGGCTTCACACATGCATTTTCCTGTCTCAGCTGCTTCTTCCTTCAGCTCTGCTGACTGAAATAACCTGAATGGGTCATTGTTGCATCATTCTACCCCACTTCTCATCCAGGTAGGCTAAAATCCAGATCCTTCCTCCCCCGGACTGTACACACTGACGCCCAATCTCTCTGTGTAGCTAGCAGGGAGTTTAACCTCTCCGGCTGTGAAGAAGTGATTTATTTCTAATCTAGTCTGCCTAGAACAGGTACAAACTAGAATAATTCATCCCAGCTGCTTTTTCCCTGTCCGAGTGGTGTGAGTGTGTTAGCAGCTCGACCCTCTATCAACGATGAAGGGGAACTTGGCATTCACTAGGTGGGACATGCAGGCCACTGCGGGTTGTGTGGTGGCCTGTTGAAAAAGCTGCTTTGCTGGTTGATCTAGCTATCTGTTATCAAATGGGTGGAAGCCACATGGGTGGAGGCGGGGTTTCATTGAATCCACAAGTCTTATGTCCAGGTAGACACAATGGCTCAAGAAATTACTATACTCCTTGCACAAAATGACATTTAAATGGTGCTTATGGCAAAATGTTATATATGATCAATACCATTGCTCTGGAAGGTGCATGACACAACCACTTTAAAATGTACAAATTTAATTCAACCCTCCCCCCCACAAAAATAGACTAATGATAAATGGCCCACATTTGTATAGCACCTTTCAGAGGCAGAGGACTCCACGGCGCTTTACACAGTAACAATGTAGCTACAGCTGCCCTGGGGCGCACTGGCAGAGGCGAGGTTGCCGAGCACAGGCGCCACCTGTCCCTACGACCACCACCAGTAGGCAAGGTGGGTTAAGTGTCTTGCCCAAGTACACAGCAGCATTCTCTGTTCAAAGGCGGCATCGAACCTGCAACCTTCCACTTACTGGACAACCTGCTCAACCTCCTGAGCTCCTGCTGCCCCAGACAAATCTATGCTCATAATATTCAGCCTACCACATCATGCAGCATCACCTCTTTGACCAGCAAGCTGTGTTGGTATAAACACAGCCAGTGCTGTCTCGCAAACAGTAACACTTTCTCAGTGTTGACAGGAAGTAGCATGCATTAATGAGCGGCTGGCACAGAGAAGTCCTCCCATTGCAAAAAAATGTGGTCGACGAGGTAAATTCTGACTCAGTGACATGATTGGCAGAGTGTGTGCTCAAGGCAAAGGCCTAGTATGAAAAATATTTCTACTTTCTTTGCAGCCAACCTGTTTTTTTAATTTACTTTGTTTTTAACACTCATCAGGATCCTTAAAGAGCAAATTGCAAGTTAGAGACTGCCATGAACCAATGTTTTGAGAAACATAATATAAACTCCTTTTAAAAATGTTTTTACACTTACATAAATTATTTAGGCTTTAATGGGCCATTCCCATCTGTACCGG